GCCACGAAAATTATGTTATAACTACTAAAACATAATATTTCAAACTTCTAAAAAATTATATCAATTGACAATATTCAGTGGTCTATTTTTCATTCAAAATACATGCTTTTAACATTCATAATCAACTTTATCTAAATAATAACATAATTCATAACTAATAGAATGAAAATTAAAACAATACTTCTACAAATAAACTAAGTCTGCAGATGCTGTTAAATGACCAAATATAACTATCAGAAATTCAACCGACTTTCAAAAAATACAACCTAACTATTGAATTTGTATGATTCGAATTTATAGTAGTTTTTTTAATTTTATATCATTCTTCTCAGTTATTTATATTCTTAGTATATTTTCTTAAACTAAACGTTATTTAGTATTGGATTGTTTAGTAAAAAGTGTTGCTTCATGTTGTTCGCTAAATATTGAATTTGTATCATTCATGTTCATAATATTACTTATAATTTTGTATCGTTTATCTTACTTGTAATTTTGTATTATTTTTCTCAGGTATTTAAATTTGAATTATTTAATAAATATTATTGATTTGCGTTGTTAACTGAATATTGAATTTGTATGATTCGTGTTTGTATATAAATTTAATCTTGTATATTTTAAATGTTAAGCATATTTTCTTTAATGTATCTCTTAATATTTAAGTTACCGAATAATTTAAATTTAATCTTGTATATTTTACACATTAATCATATTTTCTTTGTTAAATTAGATTGTTTGCAAGTTGTGTTTTTTTTATTGTTTATAAAAAAAATAAAATTGACTATTGAATTTGTATAATTCGAGTTTATAGTAGTGCTTTTAATTTTATATCATTTTTATCGGTTATTTATATTCTTAGTATATTTTCTTAAACTAAACGTTATTTAGTATTGGATTGTTTAGTAAAGATTGTTGTTTCGTGTTATTCACTGAATATTGAATTTGTATGATTTGTGTTCATAGTATTGCTTAAAATTTTATATTATTTCTATCGCTTATAATTTTGTATCATTTTTCTAGGGTATTTAGATTTGAATTATTTAGTAAATATTATTCCTTTGTGTTGCTCACTAAATATTAAATTTGTATTATTCGTATTTGTATATGAATTTAATTTTTTTATATTTTAAATGTTAAGCATATTTTCTTTAATATATCTCTTGATATCTGAGTTGACCAATAACTTGAATTTAATCTTGTATATTTTACATGTTAAGTATATTTTCTTTGTTAAATAGATTTTTTGCAAGTTATATATTTTTTTATTGATTATGAAAAAAATAAAATTGATTATTGAATTTGTATGATTCGTGTTTGTAGTATTACTTGCATGAAAAAAAGAGATACAGAGGAATATTTTCGTGATATGTACTATCTATCTAATATTTATTAAATAATTTTTCTTCAGAGAGAGATACAGAAGAATATTTTCGTAATGTACTATCTATTTCTGTAATATATACTATTTATCTACAAAGAAATGTAGTATTTGTTTGAATCAGACATCATCTAATATTTTTTGTGATATTTTTATGAGATACAGACAAAAATATTGTAGAATGAGAGAGAGAGAGATTTGCTTGATTTAAGGAAAAGATTTGAGAGAATTAAATTTTGGAATATCAATTTTGAAAACAATAAATTTTGAGCAGCAAAAATATTTTAAAAGAGTTAATGTGGTACGTCGGATTAAAATAATCTAAGACGTCAATAGCTCGAAACAGTTTGAGATAACATTGTCTGTTAGATGATTGTTTTTTTTGTCACAAAACGATCTAGACCATTTTTTGTCTCCAAAATTTAAATTTGTTTTACTTTATTATATAGATAGGAAGTTGAATTTTATCTCCTATATAATTGGCCTCTCCATAACCATCACATCACTCATTTCTATCACATGTTTAATCATTTAATATTTGATTAACTTATAATTTAACATAATTTTTATTTCAGATATTATACATACATGATAGTATAGATCTGTTAAAATAATTTATCAAATTGTATATTTTGAGAAAATTTTGACAATATCTTTAAGAAAATAATGGGTAAAAATAAATTTTGAATGATTTAATCAAATAAATGTAGGAAAGAAAATTTAATATTTAATATAGGGATATAGATTTTTTAGGACTCGAATTTTTTGTTCTATTGTGCCTTCAGACACGGATTATGACTAGGAGATTAATATGGTATCACATTTGTTTACTAAACAAAGTATTAGACACGATTAAATAAAAAATAATACAATATAATATTTAATTCCTTCGTAATACATCTACCAAATTACTCTTATATATTGACAACCATAGCGCAAAGAGAATTCCTATAAAAACCACTCAGGATTTCTATTGTTTTAACAAAGTTATTTGGAACTAATTTGCAGACTTAATTTAAGAATTCAATTCAATACAACTATTGAATTAGTAGTGGACTCCATCTAATACTGAAAATTTGAATTAAGTCTTCAAATTAGATCAAAATAACATTTTCCTTTACCAATAATAGATTTCCTTTTTACAAATTAAGCTCAATAATTTGATAATTTTTAAAGTCTATTAAAGCATGACACATTTATTTGAGTAAATTATATTTTATCCCCCGAACTATTATCTTTATTTTACTTTGTACTTTCAATTAAAATTTTTTCATATTACATCTTAAAATATCAATTTTATATTATATCACTTGAATAAATAACGATAAACTTAAAAATTTGTCAAAAGAGTGAGGGAAACTTCAAAGATTTCCCACCAAATGTCTAGTGATAGATCCGGCCTAGAGCAAAGCCAGATCACATATGCAGACCAATAAAGGCTCCGTCACAATTTTAGTTGAACCAAGTCCACCTTCCTAAAAGACCTAATCCATCATCAGTGCACGTGGAAATCTTCATCCAATGAGAGGGAATCCGTGAAGACACAATCATTAGAGGCATATCGTCAGTCTCGCGAGATCGCCTCACCCATTATGAGATTAGGCGAGGTTCAAAGAATCACCATGCTATCACTTCGTCCATTACGAGAAAAAAGTGAGTTTCACAAAATTAGTTACGAGAATGATGCCTTAATCAGAATCAGGAGACAACTTCACTTGCTTATAAATTGTAAACCCCGCTTACACATGGGGTACATCATTCACATTTGAGCACTATATACTCCTTGAGCAATAAAATACTTGGGACACCGTAGTCTTTCACAGTAGAGTAAGTCACCCTGACTAAACCATTTAATTTGTATTTACTTGTGTTGAGTGTCTTTCTTAATAACTACATTAAATAGTTGATAGGTGGTGTATAAATGCATTTTGTGCATCATCACTTAGTGTCACTTTATTTTACCTTTTTTGCAACCAAATAATTACTGGGAACAAAAAGATGGTCGGTCAAATGAAAAAAATTTGGAGCTTAAGAAAGACAAAATCAAGAATATATATTTTTCTTGATTTTGATCTACACTTATGCAATAGACAGTTGCTTATTGATAGTATAAATTGCTCACATACGTATTTACAATAAAAAAAATTGACAATCCTTAACTATTTGAGTTATATAAAACAAAATTGATATTTTAAAGTGTAATGTGAAAAATATAATAGTTGAGATTGTAAAATAAAACAAAGGTAATAGTTCAAAAAAGAAAAGGTGTAATTTACCCCATTTATTTCACTAGGCAGACAAGATGATTTCTTTTATTTATTGAGCCTCGTTAACAATTGAATCCTACTTATAAGAATGAGTTAGGATTGATTAGATTTAGATTTCAATGTCAAATTTAAGCCAATTTCACCTTAAAACGGCAATTATAGATGACCAATTTTGGGGTCTAAAAATAAGAGTGAACGATGTAAAACTGATAGGGTGATACTTATTGAGCAAAGATTTTGGACCAAATTCAGATCAAAAGTTTAAAAGAAGTTTCAAAAATTGTCAATCATAACACACAGTTTTTCCTTTTATCATAAATTTGTATTAATGTACACTTGAAGCTAACTCCATTCATTTTACTGTTAAAAATTTTTGGACTAATTATAAATTATACCCCTCAAAATTAAAATATTTCATGTTTACAATTCAAAAAGAATTTCATCCATCAATATTCATTAAATAACTCAATAGTTTCATAACATATTCATGTTCAAGTCAATAAAATAATATTTTTTAAAATTTTAAAAAAAATTTATAAAATACCTATTTTTTTGCCAACAAAATAACTATTTTATGTCTATAATTAGATACAAATCTTTTGATTATCCAATCAATTAAAGTTAGATATTAATAACACATCTATAAACAAAAAATAGTTATTTAACAAGTATTACAGACAAAAAATAGATATTTTTTAATTATTAAAAAATATTAAATAGTATTATAAGAATTTTCAATATGTAAAATATATGTCACAACACAAACTGGCTCGACATAAAAATAGTGTTAAAAATAATTTTTCATTGACTCAAACATTATATGAAAATGTCACGACACAATACAACTAAGAACTATTTAACAAACATTAATTGATAAAATTCCTTTTGAAACATAAATACAAAATATTTAAACTTTGAGTGGGTTCAAGTAAAACACATTATACATAATTGGGTTTCTCACTACCACATGGCAGATGATCCACCAAGCGGAAAATAAAAGGCATGTCATACTTCATACCATTTGCTTAGTTCTGCTGCACCATAGTATGTCCCCTGTGCGCCAATTTTTAATCAATGTGCTCTAAAGGGGAATAAACTCAATGAATTACAAGCATTCCTTCAGAGCAAGAAACATAAATTTGAGGGACTTGGATGTAAAAGCTAATGAGCACAAGCAATCTATTTGTTAAGAGAAAACTTTCCTGAGTTTTGACCAAGCAAATATGCAAATATGAGCAAGCAATCCGAAGTTGTTAACGACAAAAAAGAAAGTGCATCTTACAAAAACAATCTGAAGATGCCTTTTGACTACTGCTCACATAAACTATTATGTCTCCAGAGCAAGTTGAACACCACTTTCATCTCATGGCGCCCTCCCGCAAAACATCTATCATGTTGTAGATGAATTTGTCCGCCTTTGATTGAACCTGAGTTCACACAACATTTCCAAATTCACTCTAGTAACAGAAATTAACTAAACAGCGAGAGAAACTCAGAGCATTTGATAATAACAGCAGTTTTTATACATGTTTTGTTATATTTTCTTTAATACTCTTAATAGTTTTAATTGGTTGCCAAAAGGCTATTATATACCATTGATATATTTGGTGGATTATAGTTGACAAATATAACGTTGCAAAGGGTAAAAAGATGAGTATATAAAAGTTGTAACCAAAATAATGGATAAATTATGTGAACAACTATTACTCAAGCGGTGCATTTTGAGGAAGCAAGCATTATCACCTTCTTAGCAAGGAAAATTGCAGCATCAACTGTACCCTCCGCATAGATTGATCTACCACAGACATTATGCTGAAACTCAAAAGAAACTCTGAACAAAGGAAACACGTCTAACATAGTTAGTGATGCTTACTAGGAAGACAAACAGAGAAGCACAAAAGCAATGGTTCGTAAATTACGTTTTATCAGGTGACTCCAGGTGATACATGTGGAATGCATGACCGGATAGGTACTCTTTTGGGACACCCACCATCTCATTTTGTTGCTTGGGATCTCGTATTTTTTTTACCTGATGAAATGTTAAATAAAGGATCAAGGAACATACCTAACAGTTCTGTTTTGATTTTTGCCATACAGCTTATGCAAAGAGGAAGGAAAGAGGCAACAAAAAGGTTTTAGCCCACCCAAAAGGATAAGTCTGTACGTGCCAACTTACATTACACGAGTACCAGCAAAAAAACTTACATTACATGAGTTACTAGGATCCTATAGCTTGCTTTAAGGTCTAGAAGCAATGAACACTACTCACAACAAAGTATGCCATAACACACCTATCATGCTAAACTATCTCATAAACCCATAACCAGACCCATAGTTCCTAAATAGTTATGGTATAACCAAAGGGGTGCAATTTTTTTCTCTGGATAAAGAACAAGTAATTTATTGGTGAATAATCAAATAAGAAGGATACAATAAAGGTGGACAAGCTTTACAGCCAAAGCGTGCAATTTTTTTCTCTGGATAAAGAACAAGTAATTTATTGGTGAATAATCAAATAAGAAGGATACAATAAAGGTGGACAAGCTTTACAGCCAAAGCATAATAAATCAAAAGTCATGGAAACCAAACTAAAAATCACACAAAGCATTCCACATTGCAAAAATACATAATAGAGGAGTTCCTTGAAACTCCTTAGTAACTAAGGCCCATAAAGAAGCTAAAAAGTAACTCGTTTCCCACAAACAAGCACCACTCAAGATAGTTACCATCAATATATTTATGAATCCACCAAAATCTTGATTCAATGCTTGACCAAAGCTTCAAATGCAGACAGTAAGGTTAAGTTATTAGGCCGAGAGAGTCTCCATATGAAGCCCATTTCTAAAGACTGCAATATATTTGAGTCATTAGTTCCAACATGGGCATCAGCAAGGAAATTGAGGGATGAGTAGAAGGTGACTGTTTTGGAAAACAAACAAATAGGGTGCTGATCATGACCCAAAGAGATGATGTGGGTATAATGTTGTTCAACCTGAGGAAGTGACTTGAGATTAGAAGATAAGGAGTGTAGAATAGAATCAGTGCGAGAAGCAGAAGAACCAGCAGGGCATTGGATGAGAGAGACGATTCTAATTGCCTTAAATAGATGAGATTGGCCTGAAAAGTCTGTGCAGCATGTAAGAAGGGACTCCACCATAGATTCATTCCCTGCAGTGAATTGTCTAGGATTGATACTTGGGACTTATGTGATGTCAATTGGTATTTTCTTCGAGTTTCTGGTTGCTTAATGTTTTGTTTCAATTTTACAGTAGGAATGAATTTTTGGATTTGTCACAGAAAAAAGTTTCTTGGTAACAAATCAAATGAAGAAGCAAGTGTTGTGTCTAGTAAAAGGGTAGCTGAGTACTGACTGTATGATGGCACCCACACTCACCACATCCAGAATAGAACAGTTAGCAAACACCTCGCCCACCATTTTCCTCAAGTAAAAAGAAACAGTTCATCCAAGTAAAACCGCAACCTTCGACAAAGCTTCAATTGCACCCAATTGCGCGCAATTTCAGCTGTACATAATCGCAAACACCAGCACCCCCAGACAAATGAGCAAGACCACACACACACACCATCGCCCATACCTCGAACCTTCCCCTCCCAGGCAGAACCCGAGTTCCCCCAAACCTACATACAGAGAACTCAGTAATACCTCCCACCATTGGTCACCATCACAGCCACACCCAGCACCATCGCACATGGTCCCAACACTATCATTCTTCAATTTTGTTGCTTCTGTTTTTATATGACATTTAGTATGTGAGAGTAGAGAGAGTTTGGGGGCTTGTTGCAAGTGGAGCTTGTCACAGATTCATCAACACTGCAAGAACTCAAAGCTCGGAAATCATCGTCTTTCTCTCTTCGAGACAACACTAAACCTGTGCATGTGTTGACAGGTGTATCAGCGGTGGTGGGTTAGGCTGAAGTTTTGGCTAAGAGGGAGGAGACATTGACCGACGAAATACACACACACAACACAAATTTAAAATGGAGAATAGAAATGTAAAATGTCACTTTTCATTAGGGACAAATTTGTAGAAAGACATCGCCCATTTTCTGCATTGTCTGACAATTTCTGACAAGGGAATGTCGGTTTATTTTCAAAAATCAAGGGGTCGTCCCTGTAATTATATCAATCTCCAAAAGATGTCATTGATATTTACCCAAATTATTATTAGGATATTTCAACAAATATTGACAAACCGAAGCCTTCCAAGCATATAAACAGCGTCAAAATCCATTTACCCAAATAAATATTAAGTATTTCATCGATGATTCATTAGTCATTCTTGAGAAATAAATAGAAAATCCGATACTACTATGTACTATCATGTCCCAAACACACCTGATCTACTTCAAATGAGACCCCCAATTTCTGAAAGTATGAAATGACAGCCTTGGCAGTTCCAGATGTGTCCAGTTTGCCAGCTTGATGTGACTCCATCACCTTAGTAAAACATCAAATTTCACTATGACATATCAGCAAAATATCAGGAAAAAAGAAAAGTCATCCTTAACCTAATGCGTTTAATATGTTTTAGACAACATGAAGAATGAAAAGCTGAAATACCAGAGCTTCAAGCCAGTAAGTAACTAAGATGTCACAAGCTAGTAATGGCAAAAATTGACACCAAAAGAAGAATTTTTCTTACATCGTTCCTGGTGAATATTGGAAAGAAAGGATGCATAGGTGTATAGAATGAATAAGAAGGATAAGAATATCAAACCAATGAATTAAGTACACCAAGTTGAGAATGAAAGAAACATAATTAATGCTCAAATACAACACTCCACATTTAACCATATCTATCTTGGCCTAACTCAGGCCAACAGATGGTGGCAGTAACATATCTCAAATGATAAATAGCCTATATAATTGCTAAATATTCGGTCTTTAATCTAATTATAACTAATCACAAACAATTAAATGGAAATTTTTTGAAGTTTTTTTTTTCAATTGCAACAATCAAATCCTCCAAGTTTTCCATGTTTTTCAATCAAGTCCTTCCACTCAATTTGGATAAAATTTTGTTACCAAAAGCCTTCACAGGCTCTAACACATGACCGAGCCATGGGCTAGTTTAGATCAAAAAAACCAAAATTCTTCCAGCTTAGTTTGCCAAACAAACCTAAACGTGTTCGAAGACAAAACAAAAACCATGGTGTCAAACATTCCTAAACTTGTTGCCAAACAATCCCCACGATCCCATGACTCCCCAAAACTCTTTCCCCAATTAGGAATCCCTCCCTCACCCAAAACCCTTCAATCTCCCATAACAACCTCCCAGAACCAACCTAGAGCCCTCCAAATGACAGTTAGTCTGTTCGCTTGAAACAGAATCAAGGGCACGAGACACATTGATGAACAAAAACAGGTCCCACAAGAGGCCAAGAAGCTCTTACCACGGCCAAGTCATTGGATTCACCATTGCCAAAGGTAAGTATTGTTCCATATCTAAAAATCAGAGATGGTCATGGTTCCAGGAATTGAATTCACTCATTTTTCTGTAGTAGGGATCATAATTTTCAGAGAGAGTGTGTGTTGTGGTGGTGGTGTGTTCTTGAATCTTGTGTTCTTGAAGGGTTCTTGATAGAGTGATCATAGGGAGGAGGGGTGAATTGAAGCTAGCATCTAAATTAGAAAATTTTCAACATAGTTTAGGCTTCTGGGTTAGGGAGGATTATGGTGACTGGAGAAGGCATTGGTGGATGATCTGCATGGTGGTCAAATGTATGTCAGAGACAAAAATTGGTAGTGGGTTGGCTCAAAGGATTGGCTCAATATGTTGACTCACCGATACTTTATAATCTTTTCCCATTTTATTTTGTAATATTCAAAATAACACAATATTATTAAGAAATATTACAAAATATCATATAACCCTTGATTTCAAGCCACGTAAATCTCTTGGTTGTACCTTCTTACATCTTTTAAGTTTTTTATCTTTTTCGGCTCAGATTGACATTAAGGTTAAGGATTAACCATAAGATTAAGGATCTCTAGAATAAGATTAAGGTCTCTAGGTTCACTTAAAAACAATAAAATCAAGAAAGTGACCATTAACATTTGACCCCCGAATCAAGAGGAAGCAGAAAGCGGAAGTACCTGTAGCGTGTACCCAGAGAAAACTCCTGGAAACTGTTCCGCCATATTTTCCATAGTTGCAAGAAATGCCACTAGCTAAATGAAACCCAGTGAAGCATGGTTTGACTAAAACATCAAATACAAAATAATAGCATCACAGAGATAATGCAACCAATATACAAGTACTAAGCTTTGATAACCTGTTTTCCCATTTGGGGAGAGATCACGGCATAAACCTTTGAGCTTTCCACTGTCTTATAAAGCCGATTTCTATCTCCACCAGTAGTTCCCATTACAAAAGGAACACCAATTTTGCAATATAATTCAACATTATCTGTGTTTATAGTATGGCAACAAAAACTTCAATACATAGATTCTAAGTAGCTCATCGGAATGCAGAACTAAGTTTTCAAGTTCACAAGAAGATTTTCAAATTGGCTATTCAACAGTATCATCACCCAAGCAGTCGCCATTAAGAAGTCTATGTATATTAGGGGAAAATTTGCTTTCTATATGCAAATTCAACAACTACTATGCGAATATCTTAGATCGATTATAAAGTCCATTATTTTTTATTAAGCTAAAATCTACATTCTAAGGACACCTCGAGGTTAGAGACCTCAAAGAAAGAAATATTGCAAAATAAAAAATGAATAATCCACAAAGTAACACGCCAAAATATCATGTAGATATCAAAGGGGGTAAATATGTCATTTGTGAAAAAAACTAGCACCTTCCTTTGCCTGTAACATGTAAAGTTCTGCATTGTCTTTTGCACTATGTTCCTACTAAAATATGCACTTAGTCTCAATCCCACACAATCTGAAAGGTAAGGTTTAAGGACATTTGTAACACTAAACATATGTGCATCATGCAGCATCATTAAAAAAGTAATGGGTAATTTTCTCACTTCACAATTGTATAGAAACAGTAATGTTCACATAAAATCATGGTAAATACTACATACTGAATAATACATAAGAATTATTGCATAAGTATACTGGAACATTAGGCTCTCAATTTATATTCCGATTAAACTATTAAGTATTGAACATTACAAAAAAAAATTTTTACAAGGTAAGACAAAAATAGCTTCCGAAATCTGTTTTTTCTTCTTGGATTCAGATAGAGAAATCTGGAAAACTTGAGGCAAATAATCAAAGCATGACAGCATATTAATCCTCATGACCTATCCTGTCAATTTCCATAAAGTGTATTTTTTCCCTTTTGGATAACAAACCAAATTTATCAATAAAAGAAAGGTCAAAGAAATGGTGCATAAGCAATTCGAGCAAGTACAAAAGGGTGGAACCCAAAAGTACAAGAAAAACTTAACAACATTCATATTTACAAGATTATGGAACTTTTCCACATCGCCACCAGTACACCCATCCCTCAGATCAGATTGTGTAATGCCCCCCCTTTTTTTTTTGTGTAGCAATTTCTTAGTTGATAAATAGCTTAAAGCAAGTCAAATGACAACAAAAGTGCTTCTCTTCTAAATATTCAAGATATTTCTTCTTGCTTTAGACCATAATTTATTTGAGATCTAAGTTTCATTACCCTTTTCCCCAAAAAGTTTGACAGATGTTTACCATTGACTGCAGCAGGCACTGTGTAATCCACCACAATCAAATTTGGATAATCATTTAAGATAGATGCTAGAATGCGTTCTCTTTCATAGGGACCATACATTTGAATATCTTTTCCACCCACTTGCACAGTTTTTCCAGCGTTTTTTAGACCACCAAATGATACTGGAACAATATGAATTCCTGCAGAGACAACTGCTTCAACTACTGCCTTGCCCATTTTGCCAGTACAACCATTTACCTGCAAGAGATTATAAAAAAAAAAAAAAAAAAAGCAGGCCCTACATCAACGAAGCCAAGCTACGCAATATCTAGTCTACTTACAAAATACATTCCAAATATATCTCAATCCATTTTTCGTTGAAAAAACTGATTTATGTTGAAAGCACCCCATAAAATATTGAGAAAAACGAGGTTACTAGCCTTAATTAGTGCATGCAATAAGTGCCATTTAAAGATGCAATAAAATTGCATAAATTTTATCATCAACTTCATTCATTTTTCATTCACCGAAAACTTCATTCCTTTCTTTTTTGATTGTAAACCAATGAGTGTAAAATAACAATGATATTAAGGCATGCCAAAAGTGAAGGCAACTATCTAGGTCACCACAAACACGGGGGTGCGAAAGCATGGGAAGCAAACGAGATTTGATTGGAAGCACATTAATGCATTAGGCTATCACAGATTTCAAACTAATCCTAAAACTTTAGGCAGTAACCACGTAAGCATGAACAGTGAATCCTCAGAAATATGACCTCTGTTATATATGTGGTTCCCTACACAGGTTGTAATGGGTAAGAGCATGGAACAACCCCAAATGAAGTCACCCAGTGAAAATTGATCTTACTTCAAAATGAGGAGAAATAAACAAATAGTTTCTTTTTAAGTTGATGTTTGTGAAACAAAATACCAAATAAGGAGAGACCAAAAACACCTCCAACATGCTACAAGGGTCAACTTTGGCACAATCTGAGATTTCCTGTAAACAAGTCAAATAATAAGAAAACTAGGCCTCAACTTTACTATGATAGTAAGAATTAACTCTAATCCATGGCTCACCAAACAGTGGTGGAAGTTTCCAGTTCCAAACGATACTATTGTGGTCAGGAAGCTTGTCTGAGTTATGATAGTCACGAGTCGTCAGGTACAATTAAGTCCAACATAGACTTACTCAAGAACTGTGATCAACATGCAACAAGCAATGCACATATACGTACTTGTATAGAATCATGGTTCAAGGTCGCGTTATCGGCCATCGACTTGGAGATCTCTGAAACACATTGATCACAGCGTCAAGACACGGTATCGGGGCGATACAACCTAAAAAAAATGTTGAGCATGACAAGAGATTCAAGTTATACTGTGGCACCGTAGAATCGTATCGGCCAATTCGGTGACGATAACTCGGCAATTCGGGATTAACTCAAATACAACTCGACCAACTCAGTCGACTCGTGCAAGACTTGAGGCTTATATGTATCGTGTAACAGTATCGTCTCGGAATGTGCTGAGTCGCATAAAACTCGGCTGAATCGTGTTAATATCGACCGACACTTTGAACCATGTATATAATCTTAAATGACATCAACATTACATATGGACTACACATATGTGACACTGCACCAGTTTAAGCCTCTCACAACATCATTAACTTTATCTAATTAAACTAGAAAATATTAAAGTGGAAATTATGGAAAATCATAATTTCCATACCTAATTTGTCAAAAGTCCAGGCATTGGCTCAACTTTTTTGTCATAGTCCAAACTAACTTAATCAAAAAAAATGTATTACTAGCGTACCTTTGGCCCTCTAGAATAGCACCATTGGATTCACAAGCATCATGATTTAAGGTCGCAGTATCAGCTCTCAACTTGAAGGGCACTGATACACATTGGTCGCGGTACAGTATCGGCCGATACGCATAAAATGCTTGATAGAAGTTCCAAAAAATTCTAATAAAATTACAAAGAATCTAAAAAAAATATAAACATAATTCATGCATCATATGTCTTAAATAGATAAGATTTAATCGTAATTATTATCTCTAAGGTAATTATACAATCTGGGCAAGTTATTTTCATCATAAGGATAAATCTAGATCTAATATAACTTCACAAGGATAAATCTAGATCTAATATAACTTTAATACTTATTTATACATAGTCAAAAAAGTTAAAAAATACAAAAAAATTATGTTACCCAGCGTTTCAAAATATATAAATTTTTTTGAGAAAATTTTTCTTACTTATAAATTACATATGCATTATGCTTTTAATTGTAAAATCACTTTTATATATACATAATTAATAGAATATAATTTTATTAAAATCCAACACTCTTATTTGTCTAATATAATAATACTTAGTATACTAATCGTTGACTCAATTGAGAGACTTAGATCAAGACAAAATCTCTTAAACAACGGCAACGACAACGATGGCAACAACGATGATGATAGAGAGAGACCTTATTCGCTTACCGTCGACATTGCCTGTGCCAAGAAAAAAAGACGAGCGTTGCACTGACGCTCGAATGGAGAATAAAGGGTTATAGTCGCTACTGTAACGCTCAAATAGAGAAGAAGGAGCTGTACAGTATACCCTGTACTACAACCATTGTATGTAACTGTACATGATCTACAGGTTTTTCTCCAAATCCTTTTAATTTCTATTTTAGGGTTTTTTTAATTTCTTCTACTTTGGTTTCTACATCTTTACGTCTGGAAATCTACATGTAGAATTGGTCTTCTTCTTCTTTCTCTTTTTTCTGGGTTTTTACATTGATCAATTGATGACTCGATAAGACTCGGTCCGATTGAAACGATTCACCTCCAATTTCAACATCTCCCGGTCGTGACCAAGTCAACTACGATTCGCTTAAGTCACGTGTTATTCGCGTACCATGTGGCATCAGCGCAATGATGGCCAAGGTGGATACAACTCGACCAAGTCATATCCAACTCGGCCAATACTTCAAACCTTGACAAGCATCTAAAATAGCATCCAATTCTTTTATTCTTCTAGGGCTCTGCATTTTTCCTTTTCCCATTCTCTTTATCCACACAAAAGCTTCCAAGATCCGCGTGGATTTTACAGATTCATCGAACAGATACAGAAGGAAGGCAAGAAGCCATTTCATGTCATTTTTGTTCCTATTAATGTTAGGTTCTGACATTTTTGAATCTTGCTATGACTTTTCTTGTCCTCTCAACAACTTTCTTTTAATTGCTTTTGACAAAATGCTATGCAAATGCAAGGGTCTGCTCAAGAATTGGTCAAAATTAGACAATTCCCACTTTGTTGTCGAGACTGTATCAGATGGCATCATCAATCTTTGTGCATAATTTTACTTTTCTTGTGTTAACTGTCAAGTTTTTTTCTCCCTTGTACCAATTGGGTTTCCAACTAAAATCACCCATGGGACATAGTTCAAGGTTGCGGTATTGGCAATCGAATCGAAAACTCTGAGACACATTGGTCACGGCATCACGACACCGTATCAGACGATATGACCTAAAAAAAAATATTCAAATCATACTGCTGCGTCGTGGAATTGTATCAACTGATTCGGTGACGATAACTCAGCAATTTGAGATTGACTCAAATACAATACAACTCGACCAACTCAGCCGAATCGTGCCAGACTCAGGGTTTATATGTATTATGTAATGGTATCGTCTCGAAAGGTACTGAGTCAGATACGACTCGACCAAATCATATCGATATCGACCGATACTTTGAACCATGAAATCACCGAACCTATTGCGTGAATAGGTGAGGTGTGGTTTCATTGTCCTATCGGATCTCTCTAATCTCACTGACAGTGAATTGTGCAACGGGAATGAACACCTCTTCGACTATGCCATCTGAGATTTCTTGGATGCACCGTCTTGGTTCAAAATCGCGGTATTGGTCATCGACTCGGAGAACCTTAAAACACATCGATCGTGACATCGCAACGCGGTATCGAATGATATCACCTAAAATAATGTTGAACATGACAAGAGATTCAAATTATACCGCTGCGTCGCAAAATTGTATCAGCCGATTCGGTGACGAAAACTCGGCAACTCGGGATTAACTCGGATACAACTCGACCAACTCATTCAAGTCGTGTGAGATTCCGAGCTTATATGTATCGTATAATTTTTTTCGTCTAGGAAGGTACTGAGTTGAATACGACTCGGCCGACTCATGTCGATATTGAATGATACTTTGAACCATGTGCACTGTTGATGTTGTTGCTTTCCTTTTCAGATCTAACACTCAAGATCTAAAGATCTCACCATTCAATGAGGTTGTTTCTACAGTTTGTTCTTGAGTTTGTGATCGTGCAATGATTGTATATATAGCTTGTTACGCATATAGAGTATGAATTTGTCTTTGTTTTCTAGATTTCTAAGATTTATGTAGGTCAATTGCTTTGTGATATTGTAGTACCTCGCTTCTGCTACTCTATGACAGTTATTTGGATTTTGTTGACTACACATTTTTTGTATAGATCTTATGCAATGCATGTCAATTAGACGTTCCATTTAATGGTGATCCAAACTTCATATCTGTTTTTCTTTTTCACAATATTTAGGCGATTTTTTTTTTAGTTCATCGATTGAATCTTCTATTTTGTAGTTTCGAGATGTTGAAAAATTGTAGAGATAATGGACATTTAGGAGACTAAAGCCATGTTTGGTTTGTGATCCGGAAGTAGTTTTTTGTTCTCAAAATTTCAAAAACACCCAAAACCTGTTTGTTTAACATTTTTGTTCTCTAAATTTTGGAAAAAAAATGAGATTTGAGGCAAAGAAACAAAAAACAAGTATAGCTTGTTTTTAGAATTTTCTTTGAAAATTTTGAAAGGAGAACAATTTTGGATGTTCAGATATATATTTATATTTATATATATATATAATATATCTATATAAATATGTATATATATATATTATGAAATTGTCAAAAAAATTTTTTTTTTTATTAATGTTTGAATCACTGTTCAAATATATATTTTAGGCTATCTAAACAGATTTTACCATTTTCTATACTGTGAAATTATTTTTGAAATCATCTAACCAAACAAATTTTTATATAAAAAAATATTAAAACCACCTTATTAAAACTCTTCTGAAAAACTATTTTCAGATACTATTTTTAGAAACGCAAACCAAATAGGCCCTAAATTTCTCACAAATTTCAAACCGAAGTGAAAAATAACTATTGTTGATCTAATGGTTAATTTTGGACACAAGAAGTTTCTTCTTGATGTGTCAATTAAAATTCTTAAATATTTTTTCAATTTTTTGAGTTCACTGTTTTTTATATGTTTCTCAATTCAAATGAAATGTCTTAACAAAGTTATTAAAATCTAATCAAATTTATTACTTAAGCGCAGTTTATTTGTGTTCACTATCTTTAATTTCACTGTTTTTGAGTATGCGTGTGGGATAACGAAAGAGAGAGAGAACAAAAAGAATTTAAAAATGAAAGAAGATTTTGAGGTGGCATTTGGGTTGAATTATAAAACTCAAAAAAGACTTCTCTATGTCTCAATTTTTAATATATATCCAAAACACATATTATAGAAAACAAATGGTAATGGTGATGCCGCGCGTCAGTGGAATTGGCGGTGGCGAGTAATGGTAATGGTGGTGGCAGCCGATATGGTGGTGGTCTTGGTTGTGGGTGGTTGCGATGGGTTTTGGATGGTGGTGGAGGGTGTAGGTGAAGGGTAGTGGGTGGTGACAGTGGTTGTGGGTGGTGGCGATGGGTGGTGGTGGTATAAAATAGTCCAGCTCAATGACACCAAATTTTTTTGTTAATAAGTCCGGGCAAGGACTTTGAAGTCATTAAGTCCAACTCAACCCATTTTTGTTGTCTTGTAGTTCCAACTAGTCTCTCTCTTTTTATATTACAACATTACCTCTACTCCATAAATTTCACAAAATTCAAATGGGATCTTCGATGTTACAAAATCAAACCAATAAGATCATCCAGAACTCCACATATTAAACAATTGATTCAGAAAGTGAAAAACATAGACGCACACAAATCTCCTAGTTCAAAAGACTATGAACTGCAAAAATAGTGAACTAAAGACACTCTCTACCTCTATCTTTCACCGTCTTGAGTGTGCCTTTAGTCTTTCACATCACCTGCCCTTGCCAAGTCCACCACCACTCTCTATCTTTCACACCCCCAAACAAGATTTCACTCTTTAGTTCACTGTTTGTAGGGGCAATGATCGTGGTGGTGGATGGAGGCGCCAGTTGTGGAGGTGGTGGTGGTTGGAGTAGGTTTTAGATGGTGGTGGTGTGCAGCAACGATGATGGCGATGGTTATGGGTTAGTGGACGGTAATGGTGGGTGGTG